CAGCTCTGCAGGGCGCAGACGCCCCGGACGGGTCTCAGCGCGCCCACGCTGTTGTGTCCTCCTCGTGAGATCGGCGTCCCTCGGACCCACGGAGCCGCCTTGCCGTTGGCCGGTCATTTCGTGGCGAGGGGACCAAGATGTCGCAACGGAGGCCGCCGAGCGCTCGCGTTTCCTGCCCGGGGTTAGAGGTCATGTGTGAACCAGCTTCGCCCTTTTCGCGGTGAAAGTAGGACAGTACGGAGCCGGGACACATCGCAGCCGTTTAAAGCCCGTGGTTGCCGCTTCCCTTTGGACCGGCTTGGAGATGGGGCAGGAGTCGCTGACGACTTTGTGTTCAGTACCTAGGACGGCAGGTGTCAGCCAGAGAGGTGGCCCCGTCCCCTCCGATCCCCGACATGGCAGGAGGCCGCCCGAGCCAGAGGCTGTGCGGGGTGACACTTCCTGGGGCGACACTTGTGTAGGGTTGAGCGCAGCCACCCTCCCTGCAGGCCCCCCCCCCATGCCCTTACCTAGCGACCTAAGTGCTGTTATCGCACAAAGATAAGACAAGAGGCAAAACAGCGTATTTCTTGTTCCTGTGACTCATTCACCTTCAGCAGCAGCCACTGCCCGAGCGGCCAGTTGTCCTGAGCGTTTCCTCTGGGCGGTGCGGACACCTCACGCTCCTGCGGCCGCGGACATCGCTCCCGTGTCCAGGCCCCACCGCCTTTTCCTTTTACCGTCTGAGGTGTTGATTCTCTGGGGCAAGTGCCCCGTCGCCTGGCAGGACGCCCCGTGGGGGAAGCTTGTGGGCAGAGGCCCAGAGGCAGGTGCTCCTCCGCAGGCCTGCTGGTCTGCACACACAGCTCAGCTGGAGGTTTGCACACCCGGCTCAGCTGGAGGTTTGCACACACGGCTCAGCTGGAGGTTTGCACACATGGCGCAGCTGGAGGTTTGCACACATGGCTCAGCTGGAGGTTTGCACACACGGCTGGTGGTTTGCACACCCAGCTGGAGGCGGCACTCTGGGAGGGGCCTGGGCTGTAACTCGCTCAGTTCAGTCGCCAGAAACTTACATTAAAAGTAGGTTGTGCTTTTCACACAGATACAGGCAGTTTAAAGGAAGAGCGAGGTTCACGGAGAATGTACTAGTATCTCTAAGGTCAACTGGTGTCTTTGAAACAGTTAAAGCTCCGTGACTTGAGGCTACAGAAGGATTTGCTGGACGGAGTAGAATTCCCTTCAGTCGTGAGATAAATGATGTGCAGTTGTGCTGGTTTTTGTTGGTGAATAGAGAAAAAAGATCGAAAGAATAAGACTCTTCAAGATTGTTTCAAATGAAATTGGTATATTGCTAGAAAGTTCTCAGTTGTGTGGGGGGGTGGGGGGGGTAGGCAATGCTACTTTGTAGGGAAGTGGTAGTGTTTGCTTCCAAAACAGTTCTGAGTCCAGGAGTTGAGAAAATAATTGTAAGGGTTTCAGCAAGGAAAACCTTTAAATATAAACCTGTGAGATTTAGATTGTGATAAGATTTCCCTATTAAACGCTGATAGGGATTGGAGCATCCCAGAATCCACTGCGAGTAGAATTTCATAAGGTTACACCCAGAGGGGAGCTGAGAAATCATCATCATTCTCTCCCGTTCGAGATGAGGAAACTGCGTGGCAGAAAGAAGTGGGTGCCTGAGCCACCCCGCGGGGTGCGGCCTTGCGCCCACAGTGGCACCTGACCGGCAGGCCGCTCGGCCTGGGCTCTGTCCTGTCTTAAGCTGCTCAGGCTGGTGGAGGGTCTTCCCTGAAGCCTGAAGGGAGGAGGCTGTCCTGGAAGGCGTCCCGGTGCTTGCTTCCCGGGTGAGAGGAGAGGCTCCGAGTGTTGTACCCTCAGTCCCTAGAGAGCTGAGCTGTAAATACTGTAAAATGACAGCTTAGCCCAGGCAATGTGGCTCAGGGGTTGAACATTGAACTATGGAGGTCAGGGTTCGATTCCCAGTCGGGGCGCATGCCCGGGTTGCGTGCTCGATCCCAGTGTGGGGCCTACAGGAGGCAGCCGATCAGTGATTCTCATCATTGATGTTTCTCTCTCTCTCTGAAGTCAGTAAGAATATACGTGTTTTAAAGATGACAGCTTAGAACCAGGTGAAGTCTCCGTGCTGTTCCTGTTGTCAGTCGATTAAGTCTGAGTGCGTTTCAAATGCTTGTCAATAGAAAGGGCTTCCCATGGGCCTCGGACAGCATGTGTGGGCAGCAGTGCTGAGTTAAGAGTCATAGGGCTGGTTTTCAGGCAGGGACGGGAACTTGTATTTGTAAATTGCTTTACTTAAAATACCCTCACAGTATTTCCTTTTATCGAGTATTAGAAAGATTACCAAGAACATTGCATGTCTGCAAAAATGTGGCTGAAACTCCAGAGCTGCTGCCATTTCTCCCGTGTTCACCTTTCCCTGTTATCGTGAAATGTGGTCTGCTGTGAGGGAGAGGGACTGACTCAGAACGGGCGTCCTAAAGAGACAACTTGGATTTTTGTCTGAAAAATACAAGTCAGCTGTTGAAGATTGTACTTAGTGTATCTCATTAAAAACAAGCCACGGAAAACACTGTCTAGAGGATTATGTCCCTTTGTTTTCTGTGAGCGTTTTGTTGACACTCTGCCTGTTATTGAAAAGGTTTGAATCACTTAGAGCTGCTCTGTGTGGCCGTCACGCCCCGCACTCAGGACCCGGCTCCTGTCGGTGTGCAGCCAGGCCCGGGCAAACACACGGGCGCCGTACGAGGTGGGGTGCAGGCCTTCTGCTGAGTCCAGGTCTCCCCTGAAGGTTTGCTTTGCAGCTTGTGTTGCTGTGTACTTGGTAACGCTCTTTCGTGGGAGGGAGTGGGAGCCCGTGTGAAGCTCTGGCTTTCCTTCGAGACTTGAGGCAGCCTGTATGGCAGGGTGGTGCGCAGTGTGGTCGAGGGGCTGACTGGGGGCCTGGGGACAGGCTCCAGGAAAGGTGGCCGCCCCTGGGGCGTAGCTCAGCCTGACGAGGGCATCAGGAGGCAGCGCCATCTGTGGGTCCTTGGTTGTGTCACAGAGCTGAGTCCCAGAAGAGGACAGTGACTCGCTGAGGTCACTCAGCCGGTCGGGCACGGCCGCATCTGCTCCATCCAGGCTTCTCCCCTCGGAGCAGGCGCAGTTCCAGACGGGAGTGGAGGTGGGAGAGACACGCCCCTCAGGACTTAGTGACAGGAAGTCACTGTCCCTCACGTTCTTTGTTCTTAGTTTTCCTGATTGCAGCCAGGGCTTTGGATATGTGAACTTTATGCCAATTTTTCTTTTTCTTTTTCAGTTCAAATTAAGGATAACCCAGATCCTGCTTCTCTCTGAAAGTGGCATCTGATCGTGCAGGAGCTCCGCCATGCAGCCGCCGCCGCAGGCGGTCCCGCCCAGCGTGGTGGGGCCGCCTCCCGCGGGGAGCCCTCCAAGCATGTTCTGGTCCGGCAGTTCATACAGGAGACAGGCGGCGGCGGCGAGTGCACCGGGGGCTGCGGTAACTGGCCCCCTGCAGCCGGTAACGGACCCATTTGCTTTCAGTAGACAGGCGCTTCAGAGCACCTCACTGGGCAGTTCGTCCAAAAGCAGCCCTCCCGTGCTGCTGGGCTCGGCCCCACCAGCGTTTCTTCAGCACCCGGGACTGCCTGTGCCTCACACGAATGCTGGGGACAGCTCCCAAGGACTCCCCGCGCCTCTGCCCAGACCTCTGTCGCAGCCCCGGCCAGCGGCAAGCCTGTTTTCCAGTGTGTGGACCCCTTCGGCACCTGCTGGGCCCGAGCTGAACAGGAGCGCCCAGGCCACTTCCGGCTCTGAACACGAAACCCAGGCTCAGTACATTCCAGGAGGGGGTTCCAGCACTTCTCATGGCGGCCCCCCACATGGGCACCTGCCTGGGCCTGACAGGCCCCCGAGTGGACAGAACCCTCACGATGGCGCTGCAGCACCCACCGCATCCCCTTTCTTCTCGCAGCCGCGTCCGCAGATGCCAGGGCAGTGGGGGCCGGCCCAGGGCGGCCCGCAGCCCTCTGGGCATTATTGGCCCCGCCCAGAAGGCCCTGTTGCCAATGCGGCACCGCAGGCCTCCGGCGTCTCCCGCATCCCCGCTCTGTCCAGCCCGCCTCAGGGGCCTGCCCACGAGCAGCACCAGCCTCCTGCCCCAGGACCTTCGGTCGACGGGAAAGACGGGGCAGCCTCCCTGCAAAGTGGAAACCACTCAGCGAGTCCCTTTGATCTCGAGAACACGTTCAGGCAGAGCGTCCGAGGGGGGAGTGCCGGGGTCGGCCAGGAGGTCAGGCCGAGTCCCGCAGTTAGTCAAGAGCAGGGGCCAAACCCTGCTCTCGGGAACCCCTCCGCTCAGGGCAGCAGCCTGGAAAGCCATTTGCATTGCCCTCTGGGGGCCGCCAGCCGCGCCCTGCCAGAAGCAGACTCGGGCACGCTCTCCCTGTTCTTCCGAGGCGGAGAGATGGAGAATGAGGAGACCATTTCCTCCGAAAACACAGGCTCCACTGCTCAGTCTTACTTTGACGGTTTCTCCCCCAGCCCTGTTCTGGGCCCTCCTCCGGCACACGCGGGCGCAGGCGGCGCCTACCAGGCCTTTCTCAGAGCCTCCCGCAGCGAGACCGCACAGCAGGGAGGAGACACGCAACCTTACTTTCCTCAGTCTGCAGGCACCCAGCTCGATCAACCAGCCGCTAAGAATGCTGCTGCTGACGTGTGGGGTGACACGGCAGGCGCAGGGACTCATGACGCTGGCAGCTCACACTGTGAGAATGTGGAGAACTTGGAGTTCACTCAGAACCAGGAGGTTCTACCAAGTGAGCCCCCAAATTTGGATGCCTCCTCCCCAGGCGATCACCCCAGATATGCACCTCTTCCCGGGCCCCCGGGCCCCAGGCTCAGTGTCACAGGCCACTCGGTAGGCGGGGGCTCAAACCTCGAGACCCTGGACGCGCCGCTGCACCCCGTGCGGTCTGATAGCGTGTCGTCTAGTTACAGCAGCAAGAGCCACAGGAGTGCGTCCAGCACAGCCAGGCCCCAGGACCTGGGCACCTTCATCCAGCAGGAAGTCGGCAAACCCGAGGAGGAGGCTCCCGGGAGCTTTTTTAAGCAAATCGATTCTTCTCCTGTGGGAGGCGAGACAGATGTGACCACCATGAGCCAGAATTACCACCACAGCCTGTCCCAGCCCTTGACCCCAAGCCCCCCCAAACCTACAGGGGTCTTTCAGACGAGTGCAAATAGTTCTTTTGAACCAGTGAGATCCCACTTAGTTGGAGTCAAACCAATTGAGGCAGATCGTGCCAACGTGGTGGGTGAGGTGAGGGGGAGCCATGCCCACCAGAAGCACAGACCAGCCGCTGCACCGCCCGACGCCTGCCCTGGCAACCTGGAGCAGCCACCAGACAACATGGAGACCCTCCTGCCACCTCAGGTCTGCCTTCTGCCTCTTCCCTCACCCGCAGAAGCCAGTCACAGGCTCCCGCACCCTGGAGGGCCGCCTTTGGAGACTGTGCCTGCGACACCGGAGAAGAGGCCCTCGACCCGGGCCCAGGGAGCCATGAAGTGTGAGAGCCCAGCAACGACTCTGTGGGCGCAGAATGAGCTGCCAGACTTTGGGGGCAACGTCCTGCTGGCCCCTGCCGCTCCTGCACTTCACATGCCTGGGAAGCCTCAGCCATCCGAAGTGGTTCAACCTCCAGACAAGGGGGTGTCCGGCCAGCGGGCCCGGCCGCCGGGCTGCCTCGCCCCTCTGCAAGGCGGGGAGGGCATTGGTGCTTCTGAGAACCTCGAGAACCCTCCCAAGATGGGGGAAGAGGAGGCCCTTCTGTCACAGGCAAGTTCTGGTTATGCCAGTCTGTTGTCCTCACCGCCCACTGAATCTCTGCACAGCCAACCAGTCTTGATCGCTCAGCCCGATCAGGGCGCTCACCTGGCTCAGCCCCTTCATTTTCCCGTGTCCTTGTCCCATCCCACGGAGAAGACTCCGTCCTGGAGAGATGCTCGGGTTGGGGACAGATCTGCCGGGAGCAGCCGGGCCGCGGGGGCTGATGCTGGAGAAGCCGCGCCTCTGCCTGGGGTTCCAGCCAGCGCTCTCACCTGCTCGCCTCTGTCTCACTGCCTTGCCCAGAGTAACTTCCCACACGTTTCTGCTCTTTCTGAAACGGTTTCCACTCCACCTGCTAATTTGCTGGTTCAACCACCGTCTCATCCAGCTCCAAAGAACTTGCTTCCAGGTCAGAAGAGTCCCAGTGCCGAGAGCGCGCTGCCGGAGTTGGTTAGTAGCCCTGCCGGGAGCACAGGCCTCCTGCTGGTGGCGCCCGCAAGCGACGCCTTGGGGCCTCATAGTAATAAGGCAGACCCCCCCAGGAATCAGGAAGAGACTTGGGGAGCCCTAGACTTCACGCTGAATGGGACTGTGGAGAAGCCTGTGAGAATGGATGGCCTGTCCCATGCCGATGGCCCCGCTGCTGCTCAGCACCCCACCCCCAGTCATCCCAGCCCGCCTGGGCCTGGGGCACGTAACCCAGACCATTTCTACCAACAGGTGACAAAAGGTGCTCCCAACCAGCCTGGCCCCGAGAGAGCCCAGCAGGAGCCAGCTCCTCCCCCACCAGGGCCCACAGCAGCGCCTTTCGAACCCTCAAACCCAGAAAGTCCACCAGCACCAGGGCAGCCCCAGAACTCGGCCCAGCCACCTGCAAGTACGGCTCCCGCTGACCTGGGTCAGCAGCTGCCACCTCGGCCCCCTCAGTCCTCCAGCGCATCGGCCGTGTCCAGCAGCTCGAGCCAGGCAGCCGTGCCGCCGGGCCAGCAGTGGATGCCGCCGCAGCCCCTGGACTTGGCGTCCTACTACTATTACAGACCCCCGTACGACGGCTACCCGGCCCAGTACCCCTCTCCATATCCACCAGACCCGGGCACAGCCCCGCTCTACCAGGTAGGCTTGAACTCAGACGGTTGAACCCTTTGACCAGTGGTCTTTCCTTGCGAGCTCCTTGGCAGGGTTCTGTGGGTTCAGAAGTGACGGGTGGGCACTGCCCGCGGGACGCCGGTTCTGGGCACTGGGCGTGAGAACAGTGCTCCAGCCACCACTGCTCTGCCACGCGGCGCATCTCATGAAGTTCACACGTCGTGTTCGTGTGTTGAATTGCGGAGATAATCTCAATGCTTGTGTAACGCAGCACCCCCACTGGTGGGACAGGAAAGCCCTTTGCTTGTTGGCGCCTGTTGGCTGTCCTAGTCCCGCTCGGAGTCACAGGCTGGGTCACAGGAGAGCCGCCTGAAGCTGGTGTGTGGTGGTGACATCAGAAACCTCCCTGCGAACAGCAGGAAACTAGTCTTTAATGCCTCCTTCAGAAGAAACGTAGCTAGGGGGAAGTTAGGTCTGGCCTGTAACCCAAGTGAAGCCGCGAGGAGGGTGAGAGTCCACCAGCTCCTCCCAGGCCTGGGGAGGCGGCACACGGCCTCACAGCGACGGTGTGGCAGCTCCCAGTGTGGTTGCCTCAGGTTCAGTTGAGTCCTGCCTTTGCTGGAAAAGGGGGTTCCAGGTGGACACGTTTCCTTATTACCTGGCTTTCCTCACCTCTAGTCCAGGCCCAGGGTCCTTCAAGGTCAGCCGAGGCACGGGAGGGTGGGCCAGGGAGGCTGAAAGCACGGACTCGCCGCAGGCAGGGCAGGGGCAAGGGCCGGTGGCCGAACTGGGGACCTTGTGTTCAAAGAGGTTGGGTCAGGGATGGGCCGGGTCGGCTGATGGGAGACCTGTGCCCTGTTGTGGGCCCTCAGCGTGTGTGTGTGTGTGAGTGTGAGTGGTTGGCTGCACCTCTGACCGCTGACACCTGCGAGTGTAGGTTCCCAAGGACTTGACTCCCATAGCAGGGAGCTGAGCTCTGCTGGGAGCCCGGGGGGCCCAGGGAGCACCACGCCCGCTCCAGGTCCTTGGTGAGCGCTGCACAGCGCCCCGGAGTTTCGCCCGGCGGCACCACCCCCGTGGGAGCCAGCGCCCCTCTGCCTGTCTCTCTGCCACCCTAGCTTCCAGCACCAGCCAAGGAGTGTGTGCCAGGTAGTGGCGGAGAGTCGGGCTCTCAGGCACGAACTGATTCTGCTTCAGGTCCTCACATGGCCGCCCCTTAGAGGCAGAGCCGTGGCGATCAGTGATTTGTAAGAGGCTGGACGCCTCTAAGAACCAAGTACCCTCCCTCTGGGCTGCCTGTAGCTTCAGGACCAGGCAGATGGAGCCCTGGGTCCTTGGCTTGCTTACCTGGGATGGTGTCCGGGGCAGGGCACAGCTTGAGTCCCGGCACCTCCGCGTTTGAGACCTCAGGAGGCAGAAGCCTAACAGCCCTCACGAGTTGCCATGGCTCCGGGGTGCCTGCTGCGTGCTGGCCTCCCCTGAGCAGGCCGGGCTGGGGCTGGAGGGCAGCGCTGCCTGCCTGGGGCCGTCATCCTGGAGGTTTTCTGTTTCGCTCGGGGAAGTCCCGTGTCCCGCGCCCCTGGGAGAGCCATCCGTGCAGCCTAGAGCTGGTGCCTGCTCCTGGGGGCCTGATGCTGCATAAACCTGTCTTCCCACAGGACGTCTACGGCCTATACGATCCCAGGTACAGGCCCTACGATGGCGCAGCGTCCACCTACGCTGAGAACTACCGCTACCCCGAGCCGGAGCGGCCCAGCTCCCGGGCGAGCCACTGCTCAGACCGGCCATCTGCCAGGTGATGTTTGTGTTGCTGGCTGTAGTGATGTCCTGATGTGGAGAGACTGTGTGAGGAGTGTACACCCTGCTGGTTGCCATTTTGTCCATGTGGACAGGCTGCAAGATGCGTGTTTACATGGAGGTCAGCACACCCCATCCAGCCATGGCCACGCGTCAGCCAGACCCAGGGCGGGGCCCTGGAGGCACCACTGTCCTCGGGCAGGGTTCCCCCAGCCCAGGCGGCGGTCATTGCTGGGGCGCGTGCGCCCTGGAGGCTCGCTGACGGAATGCTCAGGGTCCTAGACTGGCAGCTTTTACCTTGTGGACTGGTCCCCCCCGCAGGCCAGAGTCCACGGTGCTGATGCCAGGCAGGCCTGGGCCTCGGTGCTTTCCCAGCAGCCTCTGTGCCGGCGCTCTGGCCGGCTTCTCTCGCAGGCGGACCCTGGCTGGATTTTGCATTACAAACAAGCATGTTGAAAGAGCCCCGGGCCGCACCTCCAGCCGCGTGAGAACTGGAGTTCAGAGGCCTCCTCTCGGTGGCTGAGGGGGCGGGACGAGGGAGGTGGCTGTCAGGGTTCCAGCTCTGCCGCCTCCCAAAGCCTTCACTTGGCGAAGTAACGCCTCACAGCTGTCGGTGCTACGAGGGCACGTGGTTCCTTAAACGTGGGACAGAGAGGTGTGGCCGCCGGTGCAGGCTTGGTTCACGCACTGCCTTTCAGAACCGTGGGCTCCTTACGCGGGCCCCTCGGCGTCTGGTAGCTGGTCTGTGAGTCTGTGCCATCAGCTGGCCTCTGTCCAGGCCCGCAGAGGGCGCACTGACCTGCGTGTGGCCCAGCGGGCCAGGTGCTCATGTCCTACTGCCTGGGGACCACCCTGCCACCTGGGCAGCGTTCTGACTCGGCGAGAGCCGTGGGCCGGTGTTTTCTAGAACCCCTGGAGGCCAGGGGTCGGGAGGCGGGTGGAGCCAGGGTGCATCTGGCTGTTCCGGTTTCCCTTCACTCACCCACCTGCAGATTCATGTGGCGACATTTCAGAGGCCAGAGCTGCTCGGTGTGGAGAGGCGCCCAACAAGGCGGGCGGTGACGTGGGAGGTGTGTCCCCGTCTGCCACGTCCGCACCACTCTGGCAGCGCTGGGGAGCAGCCTCCTCGGCCCTGCTGTGGTTGGGGTGCGTGCGTGTTCCCACGTGGCGTGTAGCATCAGTTCGTCTTCGTTGTGCCACTGGGATCACATCCCTGTGGGCGCTGCTCGAGGTGACGTGGGCCTGTTGTTTCTGTGATTGTCTTTCCCATGAGTGCAGGGTTTGTGGGGGCGAGGAGGTGCGTGTTCTTGGTTTTGTGCTGCATCAGGTCATTTTTCGGAGCCCCCCCCCCCATGCGTGGACGGGTGCTCTCACCCTGGGGCAGTGAGCGCGGGTGCTGGGCTGAGGCCCTGCACTCCTTCCCCAGGGCTGCACCCACCAAGCCCCAGGCTCAGCTGAGTGAGACTCAAGCGAAGTCTGTTTTAAAAATCAAGTATTACAGCCCTTGCTGGTGTGGCTCAGTGGGTAGAACCCAGCCTGGGGGCTGAAGGGTCCCGGATTTGATTCCGGTCAAGGGCACAAGCCCGGGTTGCGGGCTCAATCCCAGTAGAGGGCGAGCAAGAGGCAGCCAATCAGTGATTCTCTCATTGATGTTTCTCTCTCCCCCTCTCCCTTCCTCTCGGAAATCAATAAAAATATATTTCTTAAAAAAATGAAGTATTACCTAAAACTTGCTATTAAAGAACAAAAATGTCATTAAGCCCTTTCAGCAGGTCAGATACCTGATCTTCCTGCTAAATTCCACCCTTTCTATAATGCAGGTCACAGCCAGGCTTGCTCTGTGAGGCCAGCCCAGCCGGTGCAGGCAGGGCCCACGCTGGTCTGCTCTGAGGGCACCAGGCTGGGCGCACTGGGACCCGCCTGGAGGACACGGGCACGGTCTGGGCGGCGGGTCTGGAAGTCGGATCCGACTCCCCTCCACACCCCGGCACCTTGGCATCGGCTGAGTCTGACATCCACACTCGAGAGCCTGTCCCGGCCCTGCTCCGGCGACGGCACTGAGAACGCCACGATCTGTGCTGGGTGCTCGTGTGGTGGTTACCATAGAGGCACTCAGCGCGCTGGGCGCAGGGAATCCCTTACTCTCCTGGCTCTGGGTCTTCTGATTAGGACTCTCCACGACCAAGGGCTTAGACGAGTGCCTGTCGCCCTGGGTGCAGTCTGTAGGCCGATACTGTCGCGCTTTTCAGAAGTAGAAGTAGATGTCTTGTTGGTAATCCCTGTGTGGTTTCAGGCAGGGGCCTCCTGAGGGCTACTACAGTTCCAAGCGTGGATGGAGCAGCCAGAGCGATTACGCCAACTACTACTGCGGCCAGTACGACTACGGAGGTACGTCAGCCTGGGACACGCCCCGCGGGCCTTAGGCGGAGTCCCCGTTAGTCTCTGTCTTCATCCCAGAGCCACGGTCACCTGCTTCTGGAAGTGATCCTGTTGCTGCTTTTCATCCAGAAGCTGCATTGTGGTCACAGCACGCGTGTCTGGCTCACACGAGCAGTTCTCTGACTTCCTAGAACAGTTGCCAGGGGCCCGGGGCTGCCTTTCCTGTCCCTGTGACCGTTCACATTGATCAGAGGAACATGAGCCGCTCCTGAACTAGTGTGTCTGCCCTGCTCTGTGGCCGCGGGGCTGTGGCTCCGGCACTGGAGGTGCAGGAGTGTCCCCTCGAAAAAAAAAAAAAAAAAAAAAAAAAAAAAAAGGGGGGGGGGGGGGGGGGGGGGGGGCGGTGCCTCTTGGCCACATGTCCCTGAGCCCTGCTCCTCCCTCTGCCAAGCTGTGTCCTGCTCGGTGCAGAGGGTCCAGGCCGGCAGCCCTCGCTTACCCAACACGGCCCTCCCGCCCCGCCCCGCTCACAGGCCTCTGCCTCCCTTCCACGTAACACACTGGCCAGAGGGCACGTCTGGGGGCTCGGATGGGACTGGCCTTGTTCAAGCAGCCCTTTGGTTCTGAGGATTTCCTCACCCTTCCTAGGCCACATCAGAAGAGATGGGAGTAAAGTGTATAGTTATGGGATGAACTGTTCAAAAGTAGTAACTATGGGCAAGAATTTAACCAAGATGTCACATAGCAGGTTTCTCTTCTTAATCATGTGTATTGGGAGGAAAAGCCAGCGGCCACTGGGTGTCACACGGGGAGAGGACTCCGCGAGACCTCCAGCTTCTCAGCACCCAGGGTCATGCCTCTCGGGAGGACGGCGAGGCTCCTCGGTTCTGGGGGCGCAGCGTCTCCCACGCGTGTTGTATCAGCTCGTTAATCCCTTGCTTGCAGATCCGGGCCGCTGGGATCGGTACTCCTATGGGTCTGGGTTCAGGGATCCCCGCCCCTATGACCGCAGGTATTGGTATGACGCGGAATATGAGCCGTACAGGAAAGACAGCTACGCCTATGCTGACAGGTGGGTGAGACGCCCTTCGCCAAGGGGGATGGGAATCAGCTGCGCTTTGTAATGCCCCACCAGCTGCGGCTGGGGGTCCCGGGAGCCGCTGGCGTCATGGCCACTGTCTGAAAGGGGCGGGCAGACTGGGCTGCTGGCGTCGCTCACTGTGGGCGCAGCACCAGCGCCTGGGACCGGCTTGCCCTTGTCTCCTCGGTGGCTGTGACCTTGCAGCCTGCTCCCCTGACCGTTCACCCGGGACTGACCTTGCCCCTGGGTTCCAGGCATCCCCTCGGGGGCGGGCTCGTACCGTGTCCTGCGAGGCAGGCCCCGTCATGATGTGAGGGCAGCGGGCGCTGAGGACCCGTAGGGCTTGAGTGTTGAGCAGCAGTGCGTCATGCCAGCGGCCTCAGTGCCCTCTCTTGCCTCTGCCCCACTGGCCCTCCAGGCCCGAGAGGTACGACGACCCCTGGAGGTACGACCCTCGCTTCACAGGGAGTTTTGACGACGACCCTGAGCCCCACAGGGACCCCTACGGGGACGACGTGGACCGGCGCAGGTGCACAGCGGAGCACTCGGGGCAGAGACTG